TTGACAATGTTATTGTGTTGTGATTTTTTTATATATATAAATTTGCAACGTGAGTTTTTGTTTATTTTTTATGAAGGATGAGATTGTCAATAGAGGTTATGACAATATATAAATTTGCAATCAGTTTAAATTTTAATTAAACAAAATAATTAAATTGTTTAATTATACAATTCAAGTCATTTTCTGTAAAATGAACAAAAGACACAAAGACAGTTTTCTGTTGTGCAGCCAAACATGAAAAAAGAAAATGTTTTATGAAAAATGACTCATTTAGTCATTTTCCATAAGTCATTTTTCTACTTTCTAAACGAACCTTTATCAAAATAGTGAAATACACAATTTACATAAATGTTCACAATTTACTTTTTACAAAATTGTAAACATTCACTAGATAAAATGTGTATTTTGGATTCAGATACTCCTTGCAAGGTGGACCGGGGTCCACGGAATAATTTGCCATATCTAGGTAGGCAAATGGAATATCCAGGAATAGTAGGTATCAACTATCGATGATCATATACTGTCAGATTGTTCCTCCTCCTTCCCTTCTATTGGTGTATGAATAATACAAAACTTCTCTCTGTACAAATACTAATAGTGAAACTCTGCTACCAAAAAATATACTCCACCTCCATAGTTGCTATTACAATAATCACTACATTCTTTGTTTCATTACTTCTTGATCATTGTTGTTACTCCGTATTATATTTGAGGCTTAGCTTATAAGCCCAATAATAGACCCTAAATCGATAATCCAACACATCATATCAATATTCATAGACCCGAGATTAGGCTCTTCAAGTTGGTGGATAATATGGAGATATTTTTATGCGCAGAGTCAATGATAGGGTCTCACTAAGCCAGTGAGGGGCTGCTTGGATGACTTGCAATTTACTTCATCCAACGACTCTTAGCTTGAACACAAATTTTGGAGATTTAGGATTAGTTTGACCTAAACTAAAAAACCTAGTGTGGTATATATATATATATATATATATATATATATATATATATATATATATATACACACACACACACACAGGTTCAAATGCGGTCGATGCAGATTCACCATTAGGTATGTAAAAATGCATCATACAGTGTTCGGAAATGCATCACAATGAAATACACCAATGTACCACACACACAAAAATGCACCACACCTAATAGTGCATTTCTGGTGCGCGCGTATCTAATGGTGAGTGACTACACGGCCGCACGAGAAACACCGGAACCTGAACTTATATATATAAATCCTTACCAAGGACCTTGTGGTCCAATAGTACCAGGTTGCTCCCATATGTGGTAAATACTAAATAGTGAGTTTGAACGTCAATGAAGGTGTAGTAGTTTGTATACGTGGGTATCTCATTCCCTTGTAATAAATATATATATAAATCCTTAAATCTCCTGTCCGTGCAACTTGTGATGAATCTTATAATTTATTTATGTGCATATGAGGGGGGATTTGGACTCAAAGTTGTGTCGTATTTCGACTACATTTTCTTGCCGGCCTTTGAATTTTATTATTGACAGAATTTTGACCTTATATTTTATAGAGTATAACTTTGCGGCAAGAATAATGCAAATGTACTACCGTCTTATTATTAATGAACTTAATGCATTGTGATTAGTGTATGTCTATTATTATTTATTAACAGAGATCTAGGGCACCATTTACCTACACCGTCTTCATAAATGAGACTACTAAATCAATTTATTAACTAACCCTATTCACACCATATTAACTTTATTTCCACTTCAGAGAGAAACTATTATTTTATCCCATATCAAAACAAAAAAAAAAAAAAAAAAAATTCTTCCGCCACTATTTGATCGATCATGCATACTGAATTAAATTATGATAGACAAAAATAAAAATCACACTAGGATGATCTTTGCAAACCACATAATAGAAATAAATCATGTTCTAAAAAAAAAAAAAAAGGAAGAAGAAATAAATCATGGTGAAAACATCCTCATCAGCTATGCATTTTAAACGGTTTTTGAAGTGCCACTAAGAGAGAGAGGAGGGATAGTGAATAAGGGGGGGGGGGGGGGGAAAGGAGGTATGACGAAAAAAAAAAAAAAAAAGGGGCTCCAAACGCAGCAGCAGGAGCGTGCACTGCAGGCCATGCACACCTGCACAACCTCTCTTTTTCATTTTCTCTCTCTTAGCGGCCCCCACAAAAAATCAATCTTACATGAGCACCCCAACTTTTCTCTCTCTTACACACAAGTCATGTTGCCCTCAAAAACCGTAAAAAACTATTGATGTAGATGTTATAATAAGAATTAAACTCATGACTAGCTTTACCCAGTCAACCTCTCCTTTTAGGGCATGCCATGCATACCACAAATTGTCTTTAACACATAAAATCCTTGATCGACTATTGTTGTTTTCACAATTAGTCTCTCGACTTTTTTTTTTTTAACCATTTGTCCACTTTTAGTCTATTAATTGAGTTGTTTAAACATTATATATATTACATGAAATCAGTATCCACACAACATGTGTTTGGCTGAAAAAAAAAAAAAAAAAGGTTGGACTAAAAGGACTAATATACAATAGTTTTTAAAAAATAATAATTGAAGACTATAAATGAAAATGTCACAAAAAGTCAGAGTTAAAGTGAAAATAACTCATACTTGGTATTAAACTTTGATATTTTACTTTAATAGTAAGACCAATCAAAATAATTGTTATTGTACCCTTGTTCCATATTTCACATGTATCATTCCAATTTCCATGGCATATGAAAACTGTCGGATGAGTAAGTTTACATCTTAATAACCTATATATATATAGAATAAGGGCAAAAAATGTATGCATATTAAATTATGAAATGTGTGTACAATTTCTAGGCAATATATACAGGTCATGACTCATGAGTTCATATATCGATGGAATAGAGCTATGTTATCTTACCATCACATCATTCAAGGATTTAATTAAATTTTCTTTTAAAAAAAGTTATTTGACCAAATTAGCAAATTTATGGCTTTTTTAGCGGGTAAATTTAGTTGAAGGCTGAAAATATATTATTTATAAGTTAAAAGTTATTTTGTTAGCTAGTTGCGATTAAAAATGTTTGGTAGATTAATTGTTGAGAACGTTAGTAAATGTATAAGACAAAAACAAACATCTTTATAACATTTATATATATTCACTTAAGCTGTGAATTGCTCTAATCACTTAAGAGTGATGAGTGAGTGAAATATATACTTATTACTCAATATATCTACAGACTCACACGCTTTAATGAGCATCGACAAAACATGAAAATCTAAAATTTCTGAACTATTAATGGACAAACATAATCAGAAAATGAGTTTCATATTTAAGATATCAATAAATTTTTTGTTGAAACACTTTATCCCCATTATCAGAGTTCGACCCATTTAAAATTGTAATGGAAATGTCATCACACTACATAATAGTTGATAATATATTAAAAAACATTTTTATGTATTATTTTATATTTATTATCAACGTAAATGAATCACGTCACCTCTACAAAATTAGAAAATGGACAGATGAAAATGACTTGTTTACCTAGAGTAGCAAGTTACCAATTTCAAAATTAATTTTTTAAAATAACTTTTAATAAATAAATAATTAAAATATTAATAAATAAATAAATTTTAAATTAAAAAAAAAAAAAAAAAAACTGCCGGCCGGAGACGCGGACGTCCTTCGTCTCCATGGCCAGGGAGACGAAGGGACCGTCCCTTCGTCTCCCTGGCCATGGAGACGAAGGTCTTTGTCTCCATGGCTGGAGACGGAGGTCCGTCTCCGGCCACGGAGACGTAGCCGGCCGGAGACGATTCGTCTCCGGCCGGAAGTTTCTGTTTTTTTTTTTTTTTTTTTTATAATAATAATTTAATTATTTATTTATTAAAAATTATTTTAAAAAATTAATTTTGAAATTGGTAACTTACTACTCTAGGTAAACAAGTTATTTTGGGCTAAATTGCATATTTTTGTGTTGTTCAATGGCTTAATTGCATTTTTTTGAGTTCAATGGCCTAATTGCACTTTGGTGTGCAGTTGAGTGACCTATTTGACCCTTATTCCTTTTCTCTTTTTTATTTATATGTTTTTGCTCAGAAATTATTAATTTATTAATTGTATTATTACCATTTACCAACAATATTATAAAACCTACTATGTATGTAAATCTTAATTACATACCGTGGGGGTACTATACACGGCTGGGCGTCGGCTGCGATAGTTCAGTTTGTACCCCCCCCCCCCCCCTCCTACCCCCTACGCAAGCCCTTAACCCTAAGGTCAAATTTTGTGACAAAAGCCTCTTTTTTTTTTTTTTTTTTTTTTTTTTTTTCTCAAATAACATTCTAATTTAGATCAGATTTCATTTGAATTGCCAATTACAGATTAGCTCTTATTCAGACAAAATTTATGCACCCTTCAGGGGTGTGCACACAAGATAAATCAATTTAGATTACTTATAATTGACAAAATCAAATCAAAATGACTAATAGAACGAAGAATGGTTATACAATGTTTTTTTTTCACAAGTTTTTTTCAAAGTTTTAGTGTTAAATATAATATAATGTTAGATAAAATATACTCCGTATCATTTAATTTGATATAAGAACTTTGGCCCGCATAGGCAGCTCAATTGGACACATGAGTGAATTTTGTGAACAATGATAGTGATTGAATCTCACTAACGACAGTGTTAGAGCAATCTCTTAAAGTGGAGGGTGTTTCTTGTGCACAGTAAGCAAGTGTCATTATTTACTTCCTTTCAGATGTTCTGACGGACCGGGACGTGGGACCCTTGTGAAAAAGTGGAAAAAGTATAGTGTGGGATGGTGTCACTATGCTCTCTATGACTCTATCATTCGCTCTGTCCCCAGCTGTGTAAAATATATATATATACACCCACACGCACACACGTAAACCACACAGTAATCAACACTTAGCGAAAACTGAGAAATAGAGTTTACTTTGATGAAAACTGTACTGTACCTCTTTGGGATCATTATATTTACAGGTAAATAATAAGGTATATATATAGAGCTATATATAGTAGCTTAGCTTCTAAGTTGTAACAATGGCGGAAGCATCGTACTCGGGAACTGAGTTAACTGGCAGCAGCAATAATAACTCATCATGCACAGCGTTATTATCTCCGGCTGCTACTCAAACCTCAACCCCGAATAGCCACCGAAAACGGCGCAGGGAAGACGGCAACAACGATAACGGCGTGGCGTCGTCGTCGTACGTTGGAGTGAGAATGCGGGCTTGGGGGAAATGGGTGTCGGAAATCCGGGAGCCCAAGAAGAAGTCTCGGATCTGGCTCGGCACTTTCGCCACCGCCGAGATGGCCGCCCGGGCCCACGACGTCGCCGCCGTCGCTGTTAAGGGCGACGCCGCCAACCTCAACTTCCCCGAACTGGCGGGGCTGTTGCCCCGTCCCGCCTCCTGCTCCCCGCAAGACGTCCGAGCCGCCGCCATTAAAGCCGCCCGCATGGACCACCTCCTCAGCCGCGACCCGGAGCCTGCTTCTTCTTCTTCTTCTTCGTCGTCGATCATCACTGCGGCGGAGACAGCAGCCTCGCCGAGCCAGGACGAGCTGGGAGAGATTGTGGAGCTGCCGGAGCTGGCGGCGGACACTAGCTACGACTTCGTCTTCCCCGACTGGGACGGCTGGGACCCGTGGCCGTGCAGCGGCGAATATTACGGCGAAATCGTGTTCGACACTCTTCTTTCTGGCGACTTCGGAAACTTTCTGTGGCAGCACTGAAAGAATCCCAGAATCAAATGGCGTGTCTGCAAATTTTCTCAAGGACCTTTTCTCTAATTCTCGAAACTTTTGGGGCTTAAATTCAAACTCTATCTTTTCTCCGTACCTATTCTCAAAGCATTAGCCTGCAGCTTGGGTTGGCAATATACCTTTCTTCCATCCCAAGAACTTGTTACCAGTAGCATCACGTTACTGTCTATTTTTAGTTTTTCCGGTTAAATTTTGTAATTGAGGATTAAATTTGTGACTTCTTATATAAGTCAATATTACTGTATGTAACATTTTGTCATCGTGTTATAAGTACGCTTTTAAGGTTTGTTAAATGACAAATTACCAAACAGTTCAAGTGTATAATGATATGATGTTGTGGCATCAGTGGAACATAATCATTCAGATTCTAATTATTTAGTTGGAGTTGAACATAATGGTCGGATGGTTGAAAGTTGATTGAAAGATGTTGACTATAACACAAATAAGATTATACATATTTATAAGGGAATAAAGGATTTGGTGAAGTTATTATTTTATTAAAGCCTAAAGATCAGAGATGTGGATGAGAACTTATCACATGAATTAATTCATTAGTTTAATAGGACACTGGACACAAACCCCTCAAATTTAAGGTGCTGATCTCTCGACTAGAATTGTATTGGGCGGTTGGTATGATTTCAATCTTTCAACGCCAATTCAGATTCAACTTATGATAGCACAAAAATTCTTAAAAGTGTGTTTTAGAAATGTTTGTAAATTCATATTGGGTGTTGGTAAATAGATGTTATGATTGAATTAGTTGGTTTGATTAGTTGAAAGTATTAGTTGATTGTAGAAAAGTATTTGGTAAATTAGCTCTTAATTGATAGCTGATTACATGCAAAATGATTTTCTAAAAAAAAAAAAACTAATCGAAAAAACTGCTTTGAGCAATTTTTTTAATTTTAGAAATTTGAAGCAATGGATCACCGAACTGTTACAAAAAAACTAATTAATCAAATACTCGTATTATTGTTTAATCAAATCAAACAACTAATAGGGTCAAATAAGTCAAAATTGGTTGATAAGCTAGTTACGTTACCAAACCGGGCCATTATTTATTTAGTAGGTTATCGGTTGATACTTAGCTAATATGTAATTGAATGATGTATTCCTTATCAACTAAATGATATAATATACGTTATGTTTGGCAAACCTAGCTGAAAGCTGAAAAGTTATAAGCTTGAATCTGAAAACTGATGATCGGTTAACTAGCTTATTATGCTTAAAAGTCTTTGGTAAAATTAGCTTTTTGATAAGCTGATAAATGTGAAAAGACTAAAAAGGACATTTTCATAAAATTTAAATGATGTGATTATTATATTGTTTTTATATTATTAAATATATGAGATATATTTAATTTATATAAAAAAAAGTTTTTGTTTTTATAATATATATGAGATATATATTAAATTAAAACAAAAGAAAAAACGTTTTTAATTAGTAAGGGTAAAGGATGCCATTTATTTATAAATGGACTATTGGAGTTACAATTTTAAGGAGTTGCGGGGTGATGAAGAATTGCCAAAGAGGATGAATAAAAATATAGGAGAAGTGAAAAAGTCAAAATGATTTTAATTGAAAATGGTAAAAGATGTCATTTATTTAAAATAATAAGGATAAAAATGGAAACAAATTAGTAAGCTCCTAGCTTATTTTTGAAACGCTACCCAATGTAGCTTTTCAAAATAAGCTCTTATTTTAAGCAACTAGCTTATTTGAGGAATATTACCAAACAGAGCTTATAGCTTATTGGTAGCTTAAATAATGTACTTTATGTATTAGAATAATGTATTTTATTAATTAAAATAATGTACTTTATGTGCTTTTGGATCGTGGTCCACGCAATAATGATTGAAACTATTGTCACCCACTCCTAAGAAAAATACTTCATAATTTCCAAAAATCTACTTCCAACTTTTACTTTGACTTGTGTTCACATTTGCTTGAACGAAAAAAAAATGGATGAATATTATAATCTCCTATTAAATTAAGCAATCAAATTGTGTCATATCATAACGAGAAAGTAGAAATGAGAGTCCATGTAAAATTCCTCTATTCCTAACGTACTCTTTGGTCTATTCAAGACAGTGCTAGGAATTGGATATGGACCAACTAGAGAGCAACAATTTTGGACTCTCTCCCACTATATATGTTTAACTTATTATATCATTCAGAGTTGGTTTGCTTCAACTAATAAGCTCGGCCATCGAATTTTAATTAATAGTCATATCAACTTACATAAACTACTCATATCACAAATTAACAAGTACTAATAATTTCACGTCACAAAGGACGCTAATAATTCAAAATCACGATACTGATACTTGAACTAACTCTTTGCGGCTAAGTACTTGGATTCGATCACAATCATTAATTCATTATGATCCACACAACTATATAAATTATATTATCAAATAATGTATATTTGGTACACAAATCATGTACATTTAGTATATTAAAAATGTACATTATATTCATAAAAAGTACATTATTTGAATACTAAAAATATATTATTTTGTATAATGTAAATTCAGTACACAAATAATGTACTTTTTGTTATGGTCCACATAGCAGTGTCCTTGGATTTGAGGCTAGTCTGATTAATGATACTATTACCTGCGGTGAGACATATTAGCAACATTTAGACGATTGTCGCCTACGTTATCGCTAGCGGAGATTTGTTTGTTACTTTCTAATCAAATAAAATCTTGGAAAATATTTTCTAAGGAATATGTTTGATTGGAGTAACTTTACAGGAAAAAAGTAATTAACATGTTTGGTGTTACACTGAAAATCTAATAATTAAATTATCTGAAAAATTAATTAATATGTTTGGTTAATTGGTTCGCTTAAACATTCCTACAAAAATTTCTATAATTTATAATACATCCTCTCTCTTTTTTTATGAAAAATATAATATATCTTTGATATATACAAACATTAAAAAAAACATAACAAATAATTGAGAGTTTAATAAATTACTTGTAAATTATAATAAATCATATATGTCGAAAAATCACCAAACTCATCAAATTAATTAAGTACTGATAGAGAATATCATTTACTCGTATACCTGTAGACATGCTCGGTATATACGTCGGGGACAGAGGAGTCCATTTCCCGAGCAAGGCCGACCACGGTGGATTCTAACTTGACCCAAGTTAAATTATAAGACGTTCCCTCTTAGATTACTCACCATCGCGCCCCTGTTCCTCACATTCAGGATTTGATTCCCGATCCCAAGGGCTTGGTTACCCCCGAGTATAGAGCCTTTAGCGCTAGAAGACAAACCCATCTGCATCACCCCACTCAACCACCTCGTATTAATTCAAATGTTAAGAATCACCGTGCATGTGGTCCTATTAATTCAAGTCTAATTTTTTTTTTTATAGTACTATTGATTCTATTATAATGTAGTATCTGTTCATACATATTTTTTCAATCTACTTAAGCATAAAGAGTCAAAATCCCACACTGAGATTCGAACCTGATACTTGCATACTAAATTTTATTAAAATGTTAAAATATAATCATAAAATGGGGGATATTAACTTAAGTTGGCTACTCCAACCTCTTTATGTAAATTGCTCCAATCACAAATGAAGGATCGTTTGGCACCAAAACCAAATCGATTCAAATTTTATAATAAGTGGATAACTGGATTTTGAGTTTAGAGTAATGTTACACCTTATTACTAAGATCACACATTTATTTTTATTCGATGAGAGAAGGGAATTCAAAATCTCATTCAATGCTCAGATATTATAAGATAGAGACCTATATCAAAACTACCGCTTAACTCTCCTAGAATATAGATTAGAATTAACTAACTAATTTGGAAGAAGAATTAACTAACTAATCTACAACCATAGACATACAAACTATATAATATAATACAATAATAACATTATTACTAACATATTCAAGTAATATATATATATATATATATATATATATATATATATATATATGATTGATCTTTACTTCATAACTCTTTATTAACGCGTGATGAGGTCATCTAATTTGGTTAAAATACTCATGATTATTTATAAGATAGTATCTGTTCAATATTTTCTCAATCTATTTCGCCTAAAAAATCAATGTTCTACCACCGAAATTCAATCATGTAGTCATCCATTTGGAATGATAACATACGTGCTATCACACTATATAGTACTTGGCAGATCATCCAATTAATTGATACTAAATGAAAATAAAGAGTTATCTTTTAAAAATTATAACTTATAACTAATACTCCGTATAGTAGTATCTAAATGAGTGTATGTTAGGGATAGTGTATGTTAGGGATAATTTTTATTTAAGAAAAATAACATTTTTTTTCAAGTTATATATACATAAAATAATTCAATTTCTGATTTCACAAACAAATTTGCTGGAGAAAATTACTTAATATTTCTCAAAATGAAATACCTTTTTTTTTCTATATAAAAAAAATGTTTAGTTCATCATTTTTACACCAAATTCAAAATTAAAAGTGATTAAAATATCTATTTATTCATTTTTAATACATTAGAAATTTAGAATAGAATCAAAATCACCCTTCAATGAATTTTGGTGATTAATGACTCTTGCTTTGCTTTCATATCATTTAATTACTATCAATAAATTTAATTTTCAATTCTTGCGCACAGAAGGTTGGCGACAAAACCATCGTTCTTCCGGGTTTAACATGGGGGGCACAAATGTCATTTCAAATAACTTTTACGCAATAAATTGGAAGTCTAGGGTTTTACAAGCTTTACCCGTTCCATCTCCTCCAACCCTAGTTCAGAGCGGCCGTAGCTTCCCTCCTCTCCTCTCAATCTCTGAAGGTATGAGTTCTCCTGGATTATTCCAACTATAATCTGTTAATGTTAATGCATATGTCACTTGATATTTATATTTATGGCCTTATTTGATGTGATGATTATAGTGTTGATGTAAATTTGATCTGTTTAAGCTTTCTGATTGCCTGTGATTCTGTTAGGCATGTAGAAGATATATTAGCCTCTCTTCAAATTATGTTTGTGGTTAATAAACTTTTGTAATGATCTAGTGTACTTGATGCATAATCTAATGTCTCATTGTGAAGATGAGTGAATTGTTCTCGGCTTAATTGCTATTGATGTGGAACTGATTGTTGCAATTTTTATGTTAATAGTTAATTATTTGATTTTGAGACTTGTGGTGATTAGGTTTCTTTGCCAGAACCAGGAACATGCTAGATAAAAATTTATACTAGTTTCTCCATATTGAAATTAGCCTTGGGTTGATTATGAGGAAATTGCCTGATTATATGCTATTCTTGTTTGATTTGTTAGTAATTGTTTGATTTTGATAATCGTAACTTGTATATAATCACAAAGGCAATTGCCTGATTATATGTTATTCTAATCACATTTTGGAGTATTGGTTTGACTCTGATGACCTTTCAATGATTGCTGTATTTGTTTTTTCCTTTGTTTGTTATACTAATTGAACTAAGGTGGAACTTGGTAATTCGCAGAATGGAGTCTCAGATCAAGCATGCTATTGTGGTGAAGGTTATGGGTCGTACTGGATCCAGAGGACAAGTGACTCAGGTGCGGGTCAAGTTTATTGATGACCAGAACAGGTTTATCATGAGGAATGTCAAGGGACCAGTCAGAGAGGGTGATGTGCTCACTCTGCTGGAGTCCGAGAGGGAAGCCAGGAGGTTGCGCTGATCGATTGCCTTGCTATATATCTTGATTGCATCTTGAAAGGGCGTTAAATACGCAGAATGTATTATCAGTTTTGGTGCACTACTTAATAGCTTTCTTGGATTATGGCAGTTTGTTAAATTTGGACAAATGCGTGACTTTATTTAATGGATTTGATATGATTGAATCTGTTTGATTAAATGTTGTGATTCCCAGCTTGTTTACTGCTTTTATACTATCAGTTTTGAAGTTGCCAACCTGGTACATTTCCCCTTATATTTAGTTGAGGTTGAATACATCTTTTAATGGTCTTGGGTTTGAATCATCTGTGTCACCCAAGATTGTGTTTGCGGGTAGCTTGCCATCAAAAAGTGATTGGTTTGTACACGTGAGGCGTGTTGATCATTATAGCTATTCGTAAATATTCATAAATTTTTAGTTGAGATGGAACACTCTTTTAATTATTATTGCTGGGTTTTATCCCTTATGGTCTCTGACTATTGTTGCAATTTTGCTGATGTTGATTTTCTATCTGGGAAGGTGTTTAATATTCACCCAAAAAATGTTCAAGCTCTGCAGAGGTCTCCTATATATTCAGTTTTGTTAGATACTAGGATGTATTTGGATTTTGGACTAACAATTTTTCAACAGAAGCGCTGTTGCCATTCATGTTAAACTTGGTGACCTAAAACTGAATTTGATTCAAACTCTCATATGTCCTGAGATTGAGAACCCATTTTTGCCAGTTTTGAGTCATTGTTCAAGTCTACTTTCTCATTGTGCGACTGCTCTAAAGTAATCGTGAGCTGCTTTCATCCAACAACTAAGAGGGAGTTGCTATTCAATTACAGCATAACTCTGTGGCCATCCGGATTACAGTAATTATATTCATTCCTACCAAACAATGTAATTTGAATTGTTACTTTATTCTCACCTTATTCTTTTCCACTGAATTACAAATTTACACTTCCTTTCCCTCATAATTCATTCCTTCTAACCAAACACATTGTAATGGAATTCTAGAAATCCAATTCAAGTCGGTCTAACGATGAGTGCAATACTTGCCTCAGAGTTCAATACCCACAAGTGACGATTTCCTAGACCAGCTCATGTGCCTCTCGAAGCAAGCTGAGATTAATCGAGTGGACCCGGACTGTAACAGGGACGGAGAAGGACCCTAAACACCTCTTTGTTTACACCCGTAACTCTCTAATACACATTCTCTATGACAATTTGATTTACACAAGAAATCAAAGATTTGATTAATAAAATAAATCTTAAGGTTAGTGCCGGTGTTGATAGACCTACCCAACCTCTGGACTACTACAATCAAATTAGCAGTTTTTTTTTTTTTTTTCTAGACGATAGCTTGTCATCCGGAGGGGTCATTGTGACATGTCAATTAACACCAACAAAACCAAACGTAACACTTGAATCATCAATATCAATTATTCAATTAATATTCTTACTTAAAAGATTTGTATTTGTTTTTGTTAAACATACTAATCAGTGATCATGCAATTGTAAGGCTTCAACTCTGGTAAAATGTGTGTTATATTAAAAATATGTTAACTAACATTCAAATTAGTTTCACCGTGTTCGATGTTGAATCGGGAATGTAGACTAAGACACAATGTGCGTAGATATCTCTATCTCTCCCTCCCTCGCTTGATGGGCCTTTTATAGAGGAAGGAGGGGATACATGCTGGTGTATCAGCATGCTTTATACGTATTATTTACGTATCCAGTAACTATAGTGGTATCACCGAATGTCCTTACATGTCTGTCTGTGATTTAGTTATTGACATGATCTTTGTGGTCGGTAAGAATCGGAAAGCAATTCCAAGATTGGAAAATGTGTTGGGTCCTTAGTATAGTCCCCATCAGAATGCCATATGTAAAAAATAAAATAAAAAATCTTTCTTTTTATTTATAAGATTCTTACGAAATTGAGAATTGTTCATTTTTATTTTTCAAAGTTTCATTTTCAACTCTTTACCATTTTCAAATTGAAGACTACGTTCCAGCAATGCCTCAAACATATGTACCACATAATTGACACTCACCATATTAAGTTGAAAGGAGTTGTTAATGGTGTCAGAACGTCGGCCAACAGCCTGTCAAGATGGCTGCTACAAAAATATTCAACTTATCGTGGACCGACATGACCGCAGGTTGAGCTAGCCAATTCACTAATAGTTTATTTATTTTTTTTAAAAATAGCCTAAATACTTTTAAATAAAGTTAACACAAAGTTTAAAAGTTAATAATTACTCCAAATAATCATAAACAAACTTAATATAAAATTTAAAAATTCTAAAGACACTCAACACAGTTTTTTTAAGTTGTGTGGAGAGTTTGACATGACGGACATTGTTCTGTCTGTTCAATCTCGTTACAGTTTTTTTTTAACACTTGTATTTATGTTTATTCTGTTAAGAGTTTCTATGTATTATATTATGAGTTTTTGTGCATTATGTATTACGTTAGATTATGTGTATTATGTTAGCAGTTTATGTGTATTCTACTATACAATTCTGTACATCCGAAACAGAGAATTTTTATTTTTAGAAGTTAACGACAAAAACAGGAAACGACATCGTTTTGGCTAGGGCGCACAATGCATTGTGTGCCCTGGTGCACGATATAATTTGCCCATATTCATACCAATGGAGCGTTATACTGTGCAACCGTGTGCACCATCAAGGTGCACACGGAATTGGATCCATAATTTCTATACTATAGATTCATAATTTCTATACTGTAGATTCATAATTTGTAAACTGTAGATTCATAATTGATATACTTTATATTTATAATTTCTATACTATAGACTATAGATTCATAATTTCTAAACTGTAGATTCATAATTGATATACTATATATTTATGATTTCTATACTATAGACTATAGATTCATAATTTCTAAACTGTATAGTTATCAAATTATGAACATATAGTTCAGTAATTTGTGAATACAGAGTTCAATGATTGGGAATGTGAACATTGAAAATTATGAACATAGAGTTTTGTAATTGTAAATATAGAGTTCAATAATTATGAATTTATAGTATAGAACTTATGAATCTATAGTATAAAAATTATGAATGTATAGTATAAAAATTATGAATCCAATTCTATATGCATCATGCATGGTGTATACGGTTACACAATATAATTTACCCATACCAATTAAGAGTTTTTTTTATTTATTTATTTACAATAGCGCAGCGGGCCAACCGGCAGCCTGCATGTCAATCAAGTTTTGGAAGAAAACTCGCCACCCAAATTAGCCAGGTTGAACTTTTTATGCTCAATTTCTGGCACGTTACTAAAATTTCTAGTCAATCTATCATTATCTATATAATAACGAGATAATGTGATCTGTAAATTTACCCTACTCATCTTGACGAATGTACTCAAATCTCATAATGGCTCATGAAGTTATAGCCAATTCGACCTCAATCCTACAAGTTGAGTGAAGCACCTTTTTTTTTTTTTTTTTTTTTTTTTAATCAGACTATGAGATGTCCTGAGCATGTCATAATTGTGAATCGTTATACCGTGCACCACGACGCACATAGCAATGTGCGTCCCGCCCTCCCAAAACGACGTCACTTTGTTAAGTTGTATGGAGAATTGACGCGACGGAGTGTATGTATATTCTGTTATACAATTATATACATTCTATTATACAATTATGTACCTTCAAAACAAGGGACTTTTTTTTAAGAGTTAAGAGTTTATATGTATTATGTTAAGAGTTTATGTGTATTATGTTAGACTATGTGTATTATCCTTTCAAAAAAGTGTATGTGTATTCTGTTATATAATTATGTACATTCGAAACATGAGAAATTTTTTTTTTTTTAAAAGGAGTTAACATCAGACACGGAAAACGAAATTTTCAATTAAAAAAAAAAAGGTACAAAACGACGTCATTTTGGGTCAGGGCGCCCTGATGCACGATATAATTTGCCCCTAATTGTAGGATGCACCTTTAAGCCTGTACCAAATTTAGACGCAAATTATGCTGTGCAATCGAATGCACCATGTGCATGGTGCATTCGATGCAAAACGACGTCGTTTTGGTTAAAAAACGCGCGTCCCACTTAAAGAAGAAATCAGGTTCGATTCCCGGCAATAGCATTTTTATATATCCATAAATTCATAACTATATATCCATAGTGAATGAATGAAGTAAAAATCCACAATGAATGAACCAAATATCACAATGATTGAACTAAATATCCATAAATTCATAACTATATATCCAGAAATTCATAACTATATATCAATAAATTCATAACTATATATCTACAGTGAATGAATGAAGTAAATATCTACAATGAATGAACTAAATATCCATAATGAATGAATTAAATATCCATAAATTCATAACTATATATCCACAATAATGCTATTGCCGAGAATCGAACCTGAATTTTTTTTTTTTAAGTGGGACGCACTTTTTTAGTCAAAACAACGTCGTTTTGCATCGTATGCACCATGCGCATGGTGCATTCGATTACATAACATAACTATTGAAATTTAGATTAATCCTCATTCGCACCGGATCGGTCCAATTAAAAAGCACATTTTATTTGTGGATTAAGAATAGTCGTTATTATATTAGGATGGCATTTAGTTGCCGTTTTGTTCAAGTGGACATTACTAAATTAAACATGATCCTGAAATAGTGACTGTCGGCATCTTCACATGCATACACACACACACACACACATATATATATATATATATCCCAAAACCTCATAGCATATATAACTGTCAATGAGCAAGTCAAATCTCAATACTTTCATTGACAATTGGTCATCACTTGGTATATATGTCCTAATATCATTTTAGAATAATGTTAGGTGTATTTTTTAAAATTTATTTATTATTAATACAGCATGTTTTAGTTAATTTATTTTTAAAGAAGGATCATAATTTTTATTCTTTTTCTTTTCGTCTTTCAACAACAAATTTAGAGTTAATGATGCGGTATGAAAGTTTTTCCATGAAAGTACATTTATTATTTTCCTTTCAAAAGGGATCATGAATTTTTATTTAAAACTTATGATTATTATTTTAATATATAATAAATTTTATTATATTTATTTTATTGTATCGATCGAGTCGTCACTAACATTTATGTTGAATTACAACTTATTTGAAATATGTTATCATATCAAAGAATTTAAAAAAAC